CCCCCCTTTCACTCTCAGTCAGTTCTGGTCATTCTGTCCTCTCTCATAATCTCTTCTTCCCTCCCACCATCTCTCCATCTCCACACCTATCAAAAATCCCTACTTATTCCCTTTCATTTGTTCCTTCTTCCCATAATCCCTGACCTTCTTAAATCCGACTTTGTGACTCCTGTGGATAATGACTATGCGCAGGAATCAAGTGTAGTGAATCACACGCCACCATTAGTTCATAGTAAGCCAGTTCAGACCGTTCACATTCCCTATGTCATCTTTAATTTATCTCACTATGATCACTTCTACACGGACTAAATCGGAAATCTTTTGCTGCATTTTGACCTTTCGGTTCTCATTATAAGTGGGTGTTTACCACAAGCTGATAAATGCAAAAACACCTTCGTTTACAGAGCCTCCAAAGTAATTATAAAGCTCTCATAAAGATACAGAGACGATAAAGGAACCTCACTCCAGTTACTGTGGGGACTGTGTAAAATTACAACGTTAGATAGTAAAAAAAAAGAAAACTGGATTGCTGTAGGTGCTTTCCTTTAAATGTCAATGTTGAAAATTTAACATAAAAGAAAATTTTGGACAAAGCTTGAATTTTGAGCTTAACAGGTGTGCAAAATGTTTAGCACACCTGTTATTATATTTTCTTCTTTGCACAATTAAGTAACGTGGGGACCCTACTGGACACAACACGTGAAACTGGCCTTAATCTTACTAGTGATGCCATTTTTTAATTTTTTTAAATGAGCCCTTAAGTTCTTAAAAGTCCTTTAGACAAAATATCAAAACATAAAGTTCTTTAAATAAAGAGCTTAAGTTTTGCCTTATCTGTTATAACAAAAAGTATTATGTTTCAACAGTAAAAATATTAATTTGATTAAGAGGCTTGTGCATATTGGTGGATTATTACAGAAACATAAAAAATGATTTTGATCATTTCCAACACTCTTAATTTTAGACATCTGTTAAGCACTGGATAAAAAGAAAATGCCTAAGAATGAAACTCCAGATCCATTTTGTAGATGTGTTTGTGTTGATTTATAACTCAAAATGTCCAAACAGATTGATTGAAGCATTGAAGATAGAAAAACTAAAACAAATCGTAAATGCCCACAGTTTAAGATTTTGACTTTAGTCACTGTGATCAGTGATGTCAAAGGCTGCCGACAAGCAAACAGGAATAAAAAATCTCCCAACAAGATGCTTTGCAAGCCCAACGATTAACCGACTGAAACCTTATACCCAACTGAAATTTCTCTTTTACCTTTTATTTCAACTGTTCTGCTATAGCTTGTCTAGGACCTTGGAAAGAACAATTTTAAGACTGGCCAGAATTATTAAGGATTGAGCACCCTTCTAAGGACAACTTCCATTTTAAAGTAATCAGAAACGGCCTGAAAGGAAAGAGAGGCATAATATTACCAGAAATAATCAGGTTATGAATAGCATCTTCAGAAGGAGGGCATGAGGTAGCGCCAGTGCTCACTGGACTAGAGTATTATCTTACAATCACAGCACCATTAAATGAGAGCATGGACAGAACCAGAAGGAATGATTTTTATTGTACATTCTACATTAACATTCATTTGAAAGTTGGATTGTAAAGGATAAATTGCATTGTCATAGATCAAGATAGGAATAAATAAAAAAGCATTAAATATATACAAATATATACATACAAAAATATATATACAATAAATTGCATCAAAAAAATCAAACTTAAAAAATGTGATCCAAAAATATAATTTTTATGATTCTGAAAAGTTTCATTCCACATAATGGGTACGTATATATATTTTTTGATTTTAAAATCTCTGCACTATTAGCCCAATTTTTATGTGGTTAAAATGGGATTGCTGATATTCAAGCATGTTTTGGGGTGTATGACCTGATGTGTAAAAGAAAATCTCTGACTATTTCACAAAGTACTTTAGACCCCTTTAGGCCAACTGGGGGCTGTTTTCTCAAAAAAATGAAGCAGTATCATTTTAGAATAAAATTCCTGATCAGCTGATCAGCTAAAATTGCAAACTCATGTAGATTTAGGACAGGACCCGCCCCCGGATCTAGAGGGAACAGCACAGAAAAGCAGCCTAACACCCAGGAAGGAAAGCAGATCAGTGATTACAGATCTTTCTTATTATGCTTCATAACAATCTGCAGCAAAATTGCAGTGGTTTCTGAGTCATGCTTAGGGATGCTTTTTTTTTCTCAGTGTTGCTCAGAAATTGAAGCAATTAACTTCAGTCACAGCCATTTCCATCTCTCATGCACACACTTACACTCCTACACTTTTGTTACCTGCTGATTACACATTTCTTAGGCTCTACGTAGCTAACTTAGCAACATGTGTCTACATATGTAAAGCCCATAGATTACTTACTGCACATTAGATAACAGCAACTTTTTTAATCAGTTAATTTTAATGCAAATGTTTAAACTTCATAAGTTGATACTGCTCTTATATCAAGAATGTGAGCTGATCTGCCTGCAGTCGAGACCTTTCCCCAATTGAAAACATTTCCTGCATCATGAAATGAAAAAGACCAAAAAGTAGATCCAGGAATATTAAGTAGAGAAGACTGGGACAACAATCCTCTCACAAAAATTCAACCAACTGGTCTCCTCAGTACCCAAACGTTTACGGACCGTTGTTAGTACTCAGTAACCCTGTCCCAGCTTTTATGGGATGTGCTACTGTCATCAAATTCAAAGTATTTTTGTTAAAATCATAACATTACTCACTTTAAACAAATAATATGTTGAGTTTATGAAATCTACAAATCTCTGTATTCTGTTGTTATTTACATTTTACACAGCATCCCAACGTTTTTAGAAGCCGGGTTAAATAATCAAAATATACAAGTGTGACTCTTTAACCTGTGAGGGCTTCATTTTTATGCATCAGTGATTAAATGAGAATGAGGATGCCACACAAAACCCTGCAAGTCAATTGTATTAATGCAACAGGTAGTTGAGCCCTTGTCTGCAGTACATTAACCTACTTTAATGAGACAGCTGCAGGTTCTGAAGACAAAGATTGAATGAGACACTGAATGAGAAAATTCAAGGACACTCCAGCGTGTCTGCATGCTTTTTGTAATGTGCACCATCTGACAGTTGTGACCGCCAGTGCAATCAGATACAACTTGGCAGGACAGGTGCTACAAGAACACTACGGAAATCTGCTACCCGTCACCTCCTGTTCCTACTTACCCATGTAAAACTGAGCTGTCCTCCAGGACGAGGGGGTTAAGGTGTATGCTGCTGTCATGCATAAAGATCTAAACACTTCACACAGGGACAGCAGTGGCACGTTGTTGAGCTCAACATGATGTGGACACTATTCTGCTAATAGAAGAAAAAAGTAAAGTTTGATGACAGCATTTCATATTTGTGTCTAGGTGGATGTATTGGGTTGATTAGAATTTGTTTAACAGTAGCTTCTTCATATATATATATTGTTGTGATATTTTGATACCATGGTAGCATTTACAGGATATTGTTTTATAGTGATATTATACAGGAAAACTGTTACTCAATAAGGCCCATTTACTAGTTGTTTTTCTCTTTCTCTGTGACCCAAGAATTAATGTGTAAGAATTACAGGATGGTACCTCAAGGTTGAAAACACCACAGAGATCACTCCCTTACTCCCATCCTCCCTTCTTTATCTCTTAGAAAAAGGCTTTGTTAAAGGCCAGGTGGTTTGTTTCAGAATTCACTAATGAAAGAACTCTGTATTCTATGTCTAGGAGTGTATTTTGCTGGGATGATCATAAAATTGTAGCTGAACTGATAAACTACACAAAGGATACTTCTTTGCTCAGAAGGCAGGAAGACGTTTCCTTATTTGGTCTGTACCGGTTTGAACTGAGAACCTGCTGACACACGAACCTTTTTTTCTTCTATATAAACTGTTGTCTGATGAATAAACCTTCGAGTTGATTCTGGGAAAGCAATCTGAACAGTCTCTGTATCACTTTGTTCTCCTAACTGCTCCCGACGTCGTAACTAACCCAGCTGAACGGCATACCTGAG